ACATCGATATGAAAACAGTACAAAAATAAACCCTGTTCGGAAAATCGACTCCTTTCCGAACATTTTTTTGGACAATGCCTACAATAACTGAACAAACTTTTTTTATAGGGCATTATAGTGATTTCTATCTATTAAACAATATTTAGTTTCTTTTTCATCCTTCAGTATGTAATAGCAAATAGGCTGATTTTTGATAATTAATAAATGCCTTTTTTTTTATCTTTTTCCACTCCAATTCCATATTCATAACAATAGCCGAGTCTGTACTTTCCTTCTGGATCATTCATATCTGCTGATTTTTGACAATAATAAAATTCAACTGATTGAAATCTTGTACCGACTGCTCTTTCATTAAGTCTTTATTTTCCATTTTTTGATTTAAAAAAAAGGTTAGCACATTATATCGATGCTGTATAATTATTTATACTTACAGTAGTGGTTATACAAAATAAAAATTGGTGAAAATTGGCTAATAAGTAATTTATCCTAAATTGTACGTACATACGTACGTACCTGTTGGTGTTAGTGTATCAGCCCCGTACATACGTGCATACAGTATCCAATAACGAAAAATATTAAAATACTAAGAAATCAGGATCTGATAAATTTCCAAAGCAAAAAACGCATCACATCTAATTATTTAACTTATTCATACAATACTGTATATTTTATTTTCTTGAATTCATTTTTTTTTAATTAATAAGATCTACAGTTTGTCATCATGGGACATTATCTCTCGAATTTTATTGGTAGTTTCCGCCGGACATTGCATAGACGTGCAATTTGCTCCGAACGTAAAGTCCTCGCTACGCTTCGGACAATAACTTTTGCAAAAAAAACTTTAGAAGTTTTTTTTAAATCTGGTTGTTATTTTTAGATAATAAACAACGCTTTTTTTTTTAAATAGAATCGGTTTTGGAATAACCTTTTAGTATATTAATATTGCAGATTATTTCTATATCGCGTAAAATACCTGAAAAAATTTTACGAACAGCCTGTTGTACTAATGTGCTTACGTAATGTACATAATCAAAAATACTACTACGTATTACAGTATATTTATTTAATTATATAGTAGTCATAACGATAATACCTATCACCGAAAGAAATGTAATACGCATTTAATAAAAGCATCTGGATTTCATACATGTTAGAATTACTTAACATTTATCGTATTAGCATTTATTTGTAGTTCGTTTCTCTCAATTACAGTACGATAGAAACGACATGACCTAAACAAATAACTGTGATTAATTAGGCTGGTAAGTTGTATTACTGTATATCGTATATTAAGCGATATTCCTGCTCGTTTGTATTTTAAGAATATTTCCACCTTCTTTTTCTTTACGTAAGTCATTGTGATAGATTTTGAAACTGAAAACCGTACATTCTTTATTTTACACTAAATAATACAAATAATATGTTAAATAATACACATATAAAAATTTAAAGTACCTAGAAAGCTAGATAAAGGTGAAAAAAATGGCAGAATCAACTACGAATAGATTGACATCAACCAATGTTGGAGGAAAAAATATTGATACCGATGAAACCGTTATAACTCATTGTATTTTTGATATGGATGGTCAAACACTTTTTTCTCATTAATATGTAATTTTCAAACATTGACAAATATGTCTTAATTTATGTGATCGATTCTTTTTAATAATGCAGGTTTGCTACTGGTAAATTTACTTAGTTGCGCACTCTCTAATATACTAATACTTGTGGGTCATAAATCGAAAAATTTAATTACCTTTTTATAGAACACGCAACAAATTTCTAATGAAGTAACATGTAATAGTCGATATGTTATCTATATACTACTACATAGTATCGCTAATATTGATTCGAATAATGACTATTTATTTGTTTTTCAGCCGAAGTTTTAGCAAGATTTGGCAAAACTTACTCGTTGGAACTCAAATCACGTCTATCAGGTCTTCGCAAACATGAGGTAAACAATTTGTCATGACATTTTATAATTAAAACAATTTACCTTTATAAAATTAAAAAATTATATCTAGTCTATAGTTCTTCTAATAAATGAAACAGGTATTGATATGACGCCAGATGAATTTAATAAGGAATATGAGAAAAGGAAGGTATGTTATATAGATTTCTTAATGTCAATCTTAATGTCAATTATTTTAAGTTTGAAATTTTTTTAATGAAATAATTTTTATTTATAAAGTTTGAAAGATTACTTTCGTTAAACCCATGCCTGGTGCTATGGTAAATTAATTATAGAATACCTAAATCAAATATTTTGTTCATTGAAACAGCGACTCGTGACACATTTGAAAAAGCATCGAATTCCAATAGCAGTAAGCATTACTATACGAACAAAAAAAAAATGCTTCACTTCAATTAATGATAAATACACTCAACTAAATAGGTGGCAACGAATTCGAGTCGAGAAAATTTCAATGACAAAGCTTCTAATCATAGAGAATTATTCGATATGTTTGATAGCGTTACTTGTGGAGATGATGTCAAGAATGGTAAACCTGCACCGGACCTATTTCTTGCAGCATGTGAAAAGATGGGTAACCCCCCTACAAATCAATGTTTGGTATTTGAGGATACAATTAATGGAGTCAAAGCTGCAAAGAATGCAAACATGAAAGTAAGTTTGTTTCTCATAATAATTTAAATGAATAAATTTCAAATTAAAATACCATTTAAATTAGGTTATTTGGGTGCCGGATCCCATGATTGCAGAAGTTTTTCCGAGCAAAGATGGCGTAGATGAAATGATTTTTTCTTTATGTGATTTTGAGCCGACCAAATTTGGGTTACCACCTTTTGTTGATGAACCGTGTTCTGCATAAAGATGTACCCATATTTATTTAATTTGATAAATAGATTCGGACAAAATTAACTTAATATCTACCGGTATTGTTTAGTAATAGTTATATGTAAGATTCTGGGCGGGAGTATTATTAGATCAAAAAAAAAATCGGTAATTCATAGATGAAAATTTAGAAACAATGGACTAAAAATTACAAAATTTAAAAATTCTACGAACTTATACATACGTATGACTCGCTTAAAGATTTCTACTTTGCAGACAAAATGTTAACCTGAATTGTCAATGTATTCGGTTCCTATACAGAAAAATTGCTACTTATGATTCTCCTAATACATGTTATTATTGAGATGCAAGGAACCTTTCCTTATTAAATCTATTTATACCAAAGTTAGATTCATTCACATCTGTGATATAATATGAAAATTTTTTCAAATTTTCTACGTTCTACATAATGTAATAATATAAATGAATTAACACTCTAAAAAAACATTTACAACGTACCACAAATATACTTGCATCGAAAAACCTGAAACTATTATGAAAGTTATGCTTGTAATCTAGGTAATCTAAAAATACTAGGTAGTAATTTTCTCACTATCCCTACTTTATTAAATTTATACAAAATGAAATATTCGTATAATTCATACAATTCAGGTGTAGTGTTATTAGGCAAAAGTCAAAACTAGTTACGACTTTTGCCAAAAAAAAAATTAAAATGGCAAAATGGCAAAACTGAAAAAAAAATAATGAAATTAGTAAAACATAAAAAACTAGTAAAGAAACAAAAATAGAAAGTAATTAAAAAAATTTAAAAAGCTTTTAACTAATTATCAATCTTTTATTAATATTGCTACCAAGATAACCTACCTACAGATGCTCAGATTTTTTTTTAAGAGTGAGGCCTGGACTTGGTCTTTATTGAATAATTTATGTTTTACATTTGTAAAATGAGTTACATGAATTACTACGCGAACTACGCTAGGACTACTTTATCCTTGGCGTAGTGCTCCTACGGACCGGACTCGAACCAGACTTTAGTCAAGTTTGAGTCTGGTCTGATTTTCGGACCAGACTCAG